GCGCGCGCGGTGAGTGCGGCCCGGCGGCGGCGGCGGGCGGGAAATGGCGGCAGCCGTGCCCCCGCGCGGGAATGCATAGGCTCACGTCTATAGGTTCCGTAGGGCGGCTGCAAGGAGCCGGCCCGGGGCACGGAAGGCTGCGAGCATCGGCCGCCAGCGTGCGGGAGCCCCGCGGCGGGGAGGGCGGCCGGGCGCCTCGCTCCGGGCACCGCCGGTACCGGGACCCCCGCGAGGGGTTCGGTAGAGAGCTGCGGGCCGGGTTTGGGCCGTGCCCCTCTTGTCCCCTCTGGCGCTGTGGGGATAAGCGCTTTGAGGGCCAAGCCTGGCATGGCGGGGAGTTCCTTCCTCCAGGGTTTGCTTTGCCCCCGGTTCGGCTGGGAACGGCCCCGGTTCGGCCGGGAGCACCCCCGGCTCGGCCGGGAATGGCCCGGGATCGGCCGCCCCTCTCCTCCCGTGCCCGTGGGCGAGCACGTAACGTGGCGCGCCGCCGTTGGCAGCGACGCGGCCGGCAGGGTTAGCTGAGGCCGGGACAAGCCTAATTCCCCGGGCTCGGGGATTTGAATCCCTGCTGTGTCAGTGGAAAAAGCCGGGCTTAAACTCCCCGGGAAGCGCTGTGCATCCCAAGGCTCCCAATTCGCGCGCATCCATTGGCATTGGGCCAGGGGAGCGGGGAGCGCAAATTCCATCGTCAGCTGCACCATGGGGCTTCCTCCGTCCCTCTTGGGGGGCGGCCGGAGCAGAAGGAAGAGCCAGGAACGCGTGTTTGCCAAAGATAAGGAGAGAGGCTTAACGCATCCCAGGCAGTAAAGCAGGGCGGGGGAAAGGAAAAGTGAGAAAATCGCCTTGTTTCTCCTTTCACATTTCACCACGCTGCATGTGTGGTGCTAAGGAACGCTAGTTTGCTTTGTGCTCGTTGAGGAGCAGGGAAAAAAAAGGGGGGGAGAAGGAAAGGCAGAGCAAGCTGGGAGAACGTGGGAACAGGCGCTGGTAGCAACTGTCACCGTTTGGAGCCCTGCAGYAGTGCCCTGTGTCCCAGGGGAGAGCGCGCAGCCCTCGGGATTCCCACGTGCACCGCCATCCCGAAGCGGGAAGCGGCCTGGGATGCGGGATCCCGCACGCAGGATTCCCCCCGGCCCTGTGCCCGGACACGCAGCACTTGCCACCGCTTCACATTGCATCTGCTCATGTGTGCGAGGTTGGATTTGAGGGGAAGGGATTTTCCCCTCGCCTCTGCAAACAAATATCTGGGATCTCTTTGTTTAGGCACAGACTAGTGGAGCTTAGTGGAGTCAGAGACTATGACTTTTTTCCTGTTTTTTCTTAAATGTTGTTTAATATTATGGTATTTAAAAAATGATGGTGCTCAGATTAATCACTGAGCTCTGTCACTCCTCGCAGGCATCGTTCTGCTGCACTGTGCTGTGTACCCTGGTATTTTGCTGCAGCGGAAGATGAGTTATGGTGAGGCCTCTACTCATGTCCTAAGTATAGGCTTTTAGGCTCTGCTTTTTATTATGTAGTGAGGTGTAGCACAATTAATATAAACAAATTCTGACATACATTTGCAGTTCTGTCTCTGGTTCTTCCAGGAACTTTACTGGCAATTAATTTTCAGGTGATGGTTACATCGTCTAATGAAGTAATGCTGCTTTTTTCCCTCTTCCTTTCTTAGGATTCCCAGTTGCTCACATTTGAGGACAGTGACCCGCAGGAACCACTTGAGCTGGCAGTTAAAGAAGTTGTTAGTGTTGTAAAATCAGCACAAGAGAAGGTAAACTTCAATTTTGTTTCGCTTCAGCTGACTTTGAAGTAGGAAGTGTAACTTCTTCACTCGGTGGTGTCAGTGGGAGCTTGGTTTTCTGACACTTCTGCATGCTTTGCCTAAGCTTGTGAAGGCTGCTGAGAGGCAGCCTGTCTAATGAACCTGCGTCAAGTCTTTGCATTTATTCACTGCTTCAGTAAGTCACGGACAGAGTTTGCCACAGGGCTTCTGCCAAATGATCAGTGAACAGGGTTATGTCAAGTTTGTTTACGGGCTTTTAATGCAACTCACACAGTGCCCTTCTTCCCTCCTCAGTCGAGTGGTTCCCCATCCTGTTGCTGAAGGGTGGCGTGGGGAATTCACAGAGGGGAAAGGGGCACTTTCCGTGGGGCAGTGATGGGTCTTTGCCTGGCTCTTCCTGCTGGCTTCGTCACTCCTGCGTGGAAAGGGATGAGCAGAGCAGGTGCAGAGTCTCAGGGGTGAAGTCCCGCTTGGCTCCACTGTTGGGTGGCGAGCCCTTCCCACACAAACATGGCAGCACATCCTGGGAAGTGTTTTTCTCTCTGCTTAATGCATGTGATATTAAAAGGAGGCAGAATGTGGCTCTTAGAATGACGTACAGATACAGCAGAAGGAAAGATGTGTGTATGCATATTACCAATTTCTGCATTTTCACCCTAGTTACTCTAACTACCAGTCACATCTGAACCAGCATTTGGCTGTAGGCACCTGAACCAAATTGACCTGTTACTTTTTTTTTTTTTTTTTTTTTTTTTAATTAGCTTTGCTATTCAGGTCTACTTGCCTGTTTTAGATGTTAAGCAGCTGTGCTATGATTCCTTTGAAAACTATGCGTGCTTATCTGCCTGATACCCATCTTGCCAGTCACACCCCGATGGGTGGCCCTGTAGCTAGGGACTGCCAGCAGGTAAAGGTGTTGGTGCCCTTGTTCTCTCTCTCTCTCTCTCTCTTTCTCTCTCTTTTTTTTTTTTTTTTTTCCCATTTCTGGAAGCTTCTGCTGAAGATTGTGGAGTTGTGAGGGCTTTAAAGTTGGTGCTAGTGTTACTCAGTACTCCTGGAGGAGATGTTAGTGTGAAGGGAACTGTAAAGAGAGGGGACTGCCAAGTCTTACCTTATTGTTTTGTGTGGTGTGTGAAGCCAGAAATGAAGAAAGAACCACTATGAATAAAAGGTAGTGAGTGACAGCACAGAAACACTTTTGTGGTTTGCAGTGTGTGTCTAAAATGCTGTTGAAAAGTGGTAGGGCTGCAAACGTCCTTGCATGTGCTGTGGTCTGCGCTGTGTCATAAGTAGCACTGTCTCCAGGGAGAAACCCTTCTGGYCCTCCCAGCATGACAGAGCTGAAGCCCCGGCCCGTGGGGTTTCCCTGGACCAGGAACATCTGCACTCAGTCCTGGAGTTATCTCCTGCCCTGCTTCAATCCCGCTCCGCAGCAGCCTGTCGAACTGTTGGCTGCTCTGGGGCGGTTCTGCTCTGCCCCAGCCGTGGGTCTGGACCTGTAGCTTCCCTTGTGCAGCCCTGGGTGCTCTGCTCTGGCCATGGGTGAGCCCCCCGACCTGCTAACGGGGCTGCTGCTCTGTGGCCAGTGGCCCAGCGTGCTTGGCTTGACAGGTGCACAAGCCAATATAAGCGCATTTTAAAATGCACTGAATGGTGAGAGTTTTGCCTGTGTAAATTAGCTTGTTCTGAACTATCCCAGAACCAGATTTCCATAATCTTGTGCACTGCTGCTGAAGAAAATTCTCTGAGTTGTTCTCACTCTTTTAAGGCGCAACCTGAACAATTTATGTGGGTTTCGGTATATAACCCCCTCACAAGGGCACTCTGGTGGCTACTTGCACTCTCCTTGAATAGAAGCCTGTCCAACCACATCAGTTGTCCTCTTATGCACTAATTTTCTTTGACATATTTCTGAGGTAATACCAAGGGACTAAAGACTTCTTTCCCCCACCCTTTGTCTGTGTAACATTACTAGAGGATTATGTGCGGAATAGAAACCTCCGTGCGCAGGCTCGGCTTGCGCTGCGAGTCCGTAACTCGCTGCCGGTGCTGGGTGTCTCCCGTGACCACATGCTGCAGTTTATCGGTGCCGCAGCGTCCCCGAGCCCCGCACCTGCCCGAGGCATCGGCTGGCGCCGGCTCCCATCCTGCAGCCGGCTCCGGAGCTGTGATCCGCGTGGCAGGAGTTCACAGGGGCCTCCCGCTGCGCTGGCGCCAGGGCTGCTCTATTGCACGCCCTGTCAAAGGTCTGAYTAACATGTATAAGTTCATGAGGGGAGAATGGAGGGAGGAAGGGGYCMAGCTCTTCTCAGTGGTGGCCAGTGACAGGACARGGGGCAATGGGTGCAAGCTGCAACACAGGCAGTTCCATCAACATGTGAGGAGGAACTTCTTYMCTGTGAGGGTGCCAGAGCCCTGGCACAGGCTGCCCAGGGAGGCTGTGGAGTCTCCTTCTCTGGAGATCTTCCCAACCCGCCTGGATGCCGCCCTGTGCCCCGTGCTCTGGGTGTCCCTGCTGGAGCAGGGGKTTGGACTGGATGATCTCTAGAGGTCCCTTCCAACCTTGAACGTTCTGTGATTCYGTGTGTGCTTTCAAGGCCTTGCATCAGAGCGTTGTGGGCACGGGAGGAAGCAGATGATTGAGGATGGGAGGTGCCAGGAGCAGTAAACATGCAGCGGGGACCGTGCGGGGCAGGTGGGTCTTGCTGGGGCACTTCTGCTGTGCAGGGCCCCGAGCCCGAGGAGCCAGCCCGGAGCCCCTTTCCCAGGAACAGGCAGCCTTGCCGCAAGCAGGACGGTGCGGGATCGGCAGGATGCGGGATCGATGCGGGATCAGCATCCTATGGCGCTGACACAACGCGCACTGCCCCCGCCGTGGGGACGCTTGGAGCGAGGGGCTGGTGCATTCTGTGGGTCCCGCACACTTGGGCACCTTCCGTGGGGCCGGGTGGTGTCAAGGCGCTCGCTCCGTGGGGCGGCCGCCCGTGCCGCCCTGGGCAGAGGCTCCCTCGGCCTGAACGTGCGGGAGCCAGGGGCCTTTCCTCCCGCGTGTCGTCGCTTGCTTTGCTTCACTGAAGGGAGCACTGGCTGTGGTGTTGGCCARTTCTGCCAGCCCTTCCATTACTGTCGTCTGTTTCCAGAGGCTTTGAACTTGGCAGGAAAAACGCATGCAGCAGGAAAAACAAACCSAGCAGAAAGCTGACTCCCTTGTCTAGAGCTTGGCACAGAAAGGTTTGGACTGAGCAAACTTCTGTCTAATAACCCTTAAACTGCAACCCAGGTCTCCCTCTTTTTCCCGCCTCAAGAAGAGGGGAAAAATACCTGCAGGAGTGCCTGCAGTTCAGCATCACCTCTGTGAGTTTTAAGTTGCGATGCAAAGAATCACGGTCTCGTGGGGTAACAAATATCAAAGCATCGGGTCAGTTAGGAATTATGGATCTTGCTGGAGGAACTGATGGAGGGAGAAGGCGGCTCYGTGAGAGGTGCTCTCTTCGACGGGCCGTGCAGCGTGCCGGGGAAGGTGGCTCTTCCCCCACGTGCCTGTTGCAGCTTCGTCTTGCCCGCCTCGTTTCCAGTCGCCCTGCTGGGACCCAGCAGCCCGTGGCAGCGCTCGGGAGCGGGGCCTCCAGTTCCACTCATTTAGAAGCGGGTGAAGCCCTTGTGAAGCAGAGGCTGYGGGAGCTGCGGGAAAGACACCTCCAACACCGCAGCACTAGCAGGGATGCGCCCCTGGCTACGAACGTGTGGTCGCTCCTGTTTGTTTTTGAGCCGTGCCGTCACTGGCGTTTTTCTTTTGAGTGAAGCTTCCTGACCGTCACGTGCAGCCCCTGTTGTCCTTKAACTCCCCCTCTGCTTGAGAGGCTGCCCTGCACTTTGCTGCTCCAGTGACTGTCCTTTCCAGCCGGAATGGAATCAWGACCACAGAGCACTGTTTTATTCACTTTTTTTCCCTCCTCTTCGCTGTACTAATAACTAACCAATCCTTTATCCCTAATGTGTTTGCTTTTCTTCCCTGGTGCTTCCTGTCAGTAAATACGTTGTGAAGGAATTATATTTCCTTTCAGCTTTTTTTGTTTAGCTTGTTGCTCCTTAAGGTTCCTTCCACGGTGTGGGCTTGCCTTACAAGCAACTGGTGCACATTCTTCTCCACGCTTGTTTCAGTTAAATTCATTTTTCTTGAACTTGATGTCTAAGTTTAAGACAGTTCTCCTCGTGCTTTGAAATTGCTGTTCTGTTTTGTTTGTTTCTCTGGTAGTATTTTCTTCCTGTGTTTTAAAGTTGCGTTTTCCTCTTCTGTGGCCATTGTGCTGTGATTGCCTCGATGCTCCCAGGCCTTTCTTCCTGTTTTTTCTCCTAGGGTTAAGCTCCCCCTTACAGTAGTAGTTACTCGTTCCCATACCCACGTGCTCTGTGTTATGAATTGCATTTCTTCTCATCTTGAGGGTTTTTCAGCATTCCTGTGTGCTGCCCGGGCTTCCTTCTGCGTTGCTGCTTCCCGGCTTTCCCTCCTCAGCGTCGGACTTTGGTGGCTTTGTGCTGCGGCTCTGCCAGGTGCTGCCAGGTGTCCTGCCACGCGGCTCCTGCCACCTGTGTGGCCTCCCAGAGCTGTGGGTCACAGCTGCCCACGCCGTGCAGGCGCGTGGGGCACCCCAGGYGGCCCCACGCTGATGGGTGCCCCTCTCCAGGCAAGCGAATCTCTCCCGGGTGCTGTGGCTCAGGCTGGCAGATCTCCCCTCCCTTTCGCTGTCTTCCATCTGTCTTCAGCTTCCCTGGCTCCCAAATGGGTTGTAAACACCTGAGTGTTTGTGAGGCCAAGCCAACAGAACAAACTCCTGCTAGTTGTTTTTCCTCTTTTAAAATACGGGCCCTGTTTCTTGTTATCCTGCTTGATAGGTTGGTTGGTTTCTTCCTGTCTTGTTTCCCTGTTCTCTCTGATTTGTTTGTTTGTTTGGGGGTTGTTATTTTCCTTTCCTTTCCTTCTTTCCTTTTCTTCCATCCCTGCCTCCCTTTTCTCCCCYGGTTTGGATCTGCATGTTTGTTAGTCTCGGAGGAACAGAAACAATCCGTGTTTGTGGATGTGTCTTTGTGCGCTCGTCCCGTCACTCCCCCTGCCTTCCCGCTTGTGTTCATCATCCTTTTGGAAAGCTGCCTCCGAGGTTCCTCGCTTTATTCCCCCACAAACTTGCTCCCTTACCGGCTTCTRAAGACCTGCCCCCAGCAGGGCCTGGGGTCGGTGCTGCACTTGTTCCCTCTGCTCGAGKTGGGAGCTGAGCTGGGGGCTTCCTAAACCTGCAGCGGATTTCGCGGCAGCTCTCCTTTTGTAGCTGCCTCATGATGTGCTTGTTTTCATGTGCAGACATTTAAAGGGTTGTTATTGCTTTTATTGATATGTATTTCTAGATCTTGAGTAATCTGCTCGGCCTGGAAAGGACTGCCGTGTGCGGTAAAACTAWTTCCTTTGCAGAGAGAAGGCAGCCAGGGCCTGCAGTGCTGCGAGTTTTGCGGGTGCACCTTGGTGCAATCTTGGTTTTGGGGGGAGGTGAAGAAGAACTTTCTCCGTACGACTATGAAATTTTCCTGCTTAAATCACATCCATTTCCTTCATTATTGGAGAGAATCTATTTTCTCTGTAGGAAGAGGTGGGGGGAATGGAAATCCTACGGTCCTGTTTGGAGGAACGGGGAAGAAAGAAGCGCAGAGATGCGGGGAGAGGACARCACAGGAGTGAGGAGGAGCGGGAGAGGAAAAAAGACTTGCCTGTTAGTGCACGCACTTAGACACGTTGGTGTCTTAGAGAATTATCACTTTTCTTTGTTATTTCAACTAAAACGCTTTGTCGGTCTCGTTGGTTCCCCTGGCTGTTCCTCTGACCCCCGTGTTTTCCGGMTAATGGCGCTGGCAGTTCCGGATAATCGCGCGGGCGAGGTGCGTGCCGGCGTGGGTGCCCGTGCCTCTCGGTGGGGCTGGATCCCCGGGTCGGACGGATGCAGAACGGAGCCCAATCCAAGGGATTTTGCCTGCGCTTGGGGCTAGTGAGGCCGGGGGTGGCGGCYGGAGGGCAGAGGTAGGTGAGGGGCAAGTTGGAGGGTGCCGAGCACGGAGCAAGGKGGCTGCTGTGGGGCAGCGTTTCCCTTGGGCCGCTCGTGGGGGCAGCGACAGGTTTCTCAGGCTCTGTTAAAGCAGGAGGCATCAGTGACTGAGGGTGTCCTGGGGACTGAGGAAAGGAAGTGAGGAGGATGAAGGAGGCCGAAGAGCACCTGTTAATTCCGATGGACACGTTTACTTTCTCTTTCCACCAGGAAAGGATGTTTGTTTGCCAGAGCCTCCCCTCTCCTGCCAACAAACACRTTTTGTCTCCAGTGCTCTGGCCACGGCTTCAGCCAAAGTCCCAGGAGTTGCTGGTGGCTGCTCTTTATCTCCTCAGGGACAGAGAATACGAGGAAGCAGGTTGGATGAGGGCAGGCAGGAAGGGGGGCAGCGCAGGAAGCTGCCCTGTTTTCCTTCGTGCTGCTGCTCTGGTGCAAATGGCCTGTTTATGTCTGCCTGGCCTGTCAGAGTTATCTGCTCTACCTCTACGGGAATGTCACTTAGAAAGGGAAGCGGTAGTTGCGGTCTCTCCCTTTTTAATCAGCTTCCCACCACTTGTAGCGCTGTCTTGGATGAAAGCAGAGGCGCTTTCTCTTCTAATTTTAGCCCGGAACTCTGCTTTTCTCAGTATTCCTCTTTCGTGAATCATCCTACTGCTCCCAGGATGAAGGAATGTCACCCGATATAAAAATAATTATTTTCTACCAGCCAACATGGAAACATACGTTTCTCTGGCTGAGCTCAAAATCAACAGACCTCTGTGCCTAAAGACCACAACTATTTTATTTGAAGTGGGAGGAGAGGGAAGCAGACTTATCTAGATGACTTTGGAAGAGAAGTAAGTCAAGGAGATAAAAACGCAATTAAACCTACTGGTTTATGTTCCTAAGGTAGTGGTAAAAATATCAGGYTTTGATCTCTTGATGAGATAGAGAAGAAGAATAAAAGTTCTACTGACTAGAGTGTTTTGTTTTTAATTAAAAGAGAGCTTTAAGGATAAAGAAGCATGTGAACACCTTTACTATCCCTCTTGCCACGCTTGTGTTTCTTTAATGATGACCAATTGAGCGCTGGCAGCCCTGGCCTTTGGATATCCGGCAGTTCCTGGATATTCCAACGTGCAGCCAGGGCAACCTGCTGGGAAGGCACCGAGCCCCCGTGCACGTGCGGGCCAGTCGGGCGTGGATGGTGCAGCTCCAAGGGGTTTATAACATGCGAGTGCCCAGGATTTTTTGCCTTTTTAACTGTCCTTTTTCCTGCCCTGGGCTCCAAGAAGAGGGGTGCAGTTTGAAGAAGAGCCGTGAGAAGCCACCCTCATGGTGAATAACAGGAGTAATTCCCCGTTTCAGCTCGGTTAGAAATGAAGTCAGCAGTAAGWTAGCTCTTTGGTCTTGATAGCTACTAAAAACAGGCTTAAAACTCATTCCTGTTTTGTTGTAATAGTGGAGCATAATAGTTCATATTGACTGTGTGGCAGTAAGGAACATAAAGTAATTCTGAGGGAATTCAGTTTTGGGGAAGGGGAGTAATGAGCGAAATGGATTTTTCCACTTCTGAACTGTGCTTGGCCAGAGACCTAATCCCGAAAGGCAAATCCTGCTGCTCAGGGATTTGCTTGGGATCTTTGCTTGGTTYCTGCCCCCCGCCTCTCTTTGCTTCTCCTCTGTAATTAAGTCTCTCCCTTAATGGATGCGCTCCGAAGCTCTTGCTAATGCTCCGGTGCTGCTTAGGGCGCCCGGGGAGATTAAATATATTTAAGGAGCGACTGCCAAGGATCTGCCAGGAGGTCCGGGGCTCGTTTTAAAGCTCTCACCCTCCACCTCRGCGCCCGTGAACGAGGCAGAGGGCTGCACAAACACAACGATTTAGCCCGTGTGTTTGGAGGCCCTGCAGAGGAGCCCCGAAGCCCGCGCGAGGTGGCCACGTGGCCCGTTTGCCACGACCCACGKTGGCAGCGTCGGCGTCTCGGCGCGGCCGGGACGGCGGCAGCAGCGGCCACGTGGCGAGCGGCCCGCGGGGCTGTCTGCAGAGAGAAGCTTCTCTCTGTGATCCCTTCTGGGGCCTTCGGGAGCCCTTCGGTTCCCCCGCCRCCGGGGCTGCCCCGTGCTGCCGCAGGCCGCTTTGCGGAGCCGCTCGCAAGCGCGGCCGGCCGCTCCGGAGCCCGCGCTGGTTTGCCGGGAGCCGGCTGGAAGCGCCATCCCGTGTGTGTATCCTGGGTGAGAACGGCTCCAACTGCCGCTCGTGACAGTGCCGAGTTTACCCAGAGAGGTACAGAGCAGTCGCCTGGCCTGCCAGCTAGTCTCAAACGTCAGCTCCGGGACTGAATTTCTGCGCCTTTCCTGGTTTAATCAGTAACTTGAATAGCCTTTAACAGGCTCCTGGAAACGGGAGTTGCTGACCCAAATCCTGCTCTTTGCAGCAGCGGCAGCAGCCGGCCGTGTTGTGGTGAAGTTTTAGTGAGATGGCACTAAAAGGAATCTTGTTTACTTCTTTGTTTTCRCCCAGAAATTAATGTCAGGTGAAAGCAGCTGTCTTGTGATTAGATGCTTAGTTTAGACTGGGAGAGGAAGAGGAATGAATTTCTTTTAAAGTTAAAAACTTTTGAGTTTTTATTTATATATTATATTTGCTTATTGATATTTATGGAAAATACCATAGTTACTGGATATTATAAATTCCATGTCCAAAAGCCAAAGTGAAAATGTGATGTGCCTCCTTCCACACACACTGTTCTAAAAGTGGTCAGGATTGCCTGGGAATCTCCCACCTGCAGAATTCAGCTTAATTCTGGTAGCGTAAAGCTCCGTTCCTTTCCAACCCTGCCCATACATTTTTCTAAGGTCTAAATTGTTCCTCCCTCAACTGTCTCCCTGCTCCTTTCCCTTCCTTTAGGTGGTTTCCTGTAATGYCGTGGGAGACTCCGTTACGTTCCTCGTCAGTGTGGCTCCTACTTCCCCTGCTGCTGCTGCGGAGAGTCAGTCGTACAGCGTGAAGCTGTCGCCCCTTCACTTGCAGGTACCGTGTTGCCTTTTATTCCCTCCCTTCCCGTGGGTGCTACGTCTAATCCGATGGCAGAACTACAAGATGTGCGAGGCGGTTTCGAGTTTTCGTGACCTGTTTGCAAAATGCATACAAAGTCTTGCTAACTCAGGTAAAACATTTAATAATATTAAAAATCTACTTAATAATAAAGTTCAGCTGGTGCAAGTGATAAATTCGTGAAGTAAATGTCTCCTGTAGGAAGGCTGGATAAGCAGCACTTTGGGTAGGCTGCTTAGATGCATAGAACAAAAAATGCCCCTTTTTGACTGGTGTATATGGGTATATAGGTGCAAAGCCTAGGTAAATTCTTCAGTCATCTTAGGCTGTTGCCTTGGCATTTGTGCACTCAGAAACTGATATAACCCTTGCTTTGAGCCTTAGCACAGAGGGTGGCTTCCCATTGCTTTCCCAAATACCAAAGTTCTCTCCCCTATCCTCCTTCTTTCACATCCACAGCTTCAGCTCCAYGTGAAGGACAAGGGAGAAGATGTCAGAGTCGAGTGGTTCCTCATTAATGCCTCTGAAACCAATTTTGATATCCAGCCCTYGGTGCAGGAGGTCAGTCCGTAAGTTTTGTTTGTTTATTTGTTGCAACAAAGTGCCTTAAGGCAAAATGCAGCCCGGGCTTGGAGGGGCCTCAGGCCGGTGCTGCTGCCTCCCGCTCCTGCCCCTCGTTCCTGTCCTGCCCCTCTGCTCTGGGGAGCTGGGAAAACTCCAGCTGGGCCTCAGCCTCCTCAGTGCCAAACCCCAGGAACCACTTTGGAGGAGCAAGGAAAGCAGCCAAGATACCAACCCCAGCTGAACAACTGAGGTAAAAATTGCTGCCTGTTCCCTTCTGCTGACTGCTTGGTAGGAGAACAGGGCAGGTACCGATTGGCAGTGGGGTCTTTAACTGCTCCTGTGAAATGTGGCCGGGCTCGTGAGGCAAAGCCCTGAATCGCCGGAGTCCAGGAGCATCCCTCAAGACTGCTGAAGCATTTCAGAGACAAGCTGAATGACTTGGCAAATATTTTTCATCCAAGTTGAAAGCTGTAAGAAGTGGCTGTTCCCAAATACAATTTTTTTTCCAGAGCACTTCTAAAAAAATTCATAAAGATATTGCCAACCAAGTAATTACAAATCTGTCCATTAGCATAAATCAGCCTTGGAATTTGGCAACCCTAATTAAGGAACAGCTCTGAAAAAGGGAAGATTTTTAAGGAACAGATAAATGATGTAGGTAAAAGTATATTGAGGTTTTCTGAATTGCACCTTACCTTCATAGATAAGCGCTGAGTCACTGAGGCTTATTTACAAATCTCCTGAGAAGTTCCTTCATGTTTGGAGACCCTTCTTTCACCCTCTATAATTCTTTTTATTTTTGAGGGTCAGGGAAGGGCACAAGAAAGGTGCCCTTTGGGCCTTTCTTACAGCCGTGGGTGCTCCGTGTGTCTCCTGTTTTTATTTTGTGAGGTTGCTCTTCTCACTGAGGATCTTGGCTCCTCAGCTGAGCTGCTTTGAGCTTTATCCCATAGCCAAGCTGCCTCTGCAGATCTGTACCAAGTGACCTAGTATTGCAATAATTTATTACCATAGTTTTTATATGCAAAAGAAGTCCAGCTCATAGCTAAAGACAAGTCTTTTGAAGGCTGTTTTTAATGTAGATCTTTCTGGCATGTGTAGCAACATAAATGACCTTTGTGCCTTGGACTGGCATGTTGATTATCCACATATTGAACAATCATTAAGTACTTACTGACAAACACAAGTGACTCTGCAGCAGTCAATGGATTTGGCTGGACTTTAAAACCTGCTTTTTGAAAGATGCCTCACGCAGGAGTTACGAAGCAGTGCTGGCTCCCTCTGCCTGCCCTGTGTTTTCCAAACAAGCCTGTTAAGTTCTTAATGGGTAAGAGCTTTATTTGCACTTTGAAATTTCTATTAGCATTTGGGGGAGCTATCGAAGCTGAAATCTGTCAGCCACCTACACCTTGGAAATTGCTTCAGCTCCCAAACTTTAATGACAGCTCTTGTGCCTTGTTTTTAAGTCTTTTGAAAGAAGCGTTTTGTGAACAAATACAGAACTTCAAGTGCTGTTTGCAGTCTGCACATTAGTTCCATCATCAGTCAGACAAGGTGAAAATAAAAGTCTTTTCTATTGATAAAAGCTAGAGGAACCTGAGCAGCATTTGGGCACCTGGATGGCTTGCAGGGCTCGGTCCTACATTTAATGTTATTAAATGAACGTTTCGTGTTACTAACTGAACATTTCATGTTACTAAATGAACTGCTGTGCTTCACACCAGCCACAGGAGCTGACTGCAGAGCCCCAGTCCATGCCAAGCTCGAGGCAAAATGTGTCGTCCTAAACTTTTTGGGGTGGCAGTTAAGCCACCATGGCTTCTCTTGTAGTGAAATGGGGTGATCATGCATTTATTCACAGTGGCTAAAAATTAGGTTGACAGGAAGGAGGCTCTCAAATAAATTGCTTTGCAAATAACTATGAAAACATATCAGAAAGYGGCCATGAGCAGAAATCCAATCACTATTGTTGCTGTTTTATCAAAGTGAAAAACGGCATACCAATTGGGTGGCAATTAGAACCGCCTGGAATTTTACAGCTTTGCTTATCCAGCAATATTTAAGTAACATCTGAGGGGAAGAGCAATAACCTACCAAGTTATGCAAGCTTACAGCAATATATCTGCTTATTTATGTATCATAAATCAAAAAGAAAAAAGATTATTGAAGCTGAGGCTTCTGTCTAATTTACTTTATTAGTATAAAAAAAAAAAAAGAAAACAAATGTGGGGGCCATTGCTGGCCATGGCAGCAAGGTGCTGTGCCCCTTTGGCAGCGGTTTCGGGGAGCAGAGCATGAACAAAGCGAGATTCCTGTCGCTGAATCAGCTGCCGCCGCTGCGTGTTTTGAACAGCAGCTGCACGTCCTCAGAGGGCGGTTGCGCAGGGAGGCCGTGAAGCAGGTAGTGCTCTCTGCACGGCATTCTTGGGATTTTTGTGCAACTTCCCAAGTGTTCCTGCAATGCCCCGCTGATTGGGAAAGGGCTGTTGCTACAGATGTGTTTGTCCTGTTACGCAAGCTCCAGGTGCGCCTTTCCAGGTGCAAAAACAAATCCACATAGTTCCCGCACTTGGAATGAGAATGGGGCTTCTGAGAGGATCCCTTGTGGTCTCTGGGGCTGGGAACCGTCTGTGCGAGGGCCCAGGGTCCCTGCGGCAGAGGGAGGACGTGGTGCAGCACGTCCAGGTAGCTGCATGGAGGGCAGAGCTGCAGGGCTTTGCTCAGCCGTGGTCGTTGCACACTTGGGCTGTCACCTCCTCGTGATTGAGCGATGGCTGGCATGATACCTTGGTGTGTTTTGCTGTTGGCAACAGAGATGTTCTTCTCAAAAAGTTGATTTTGGATAACTTTGATAGCTATTAGTCTTTTGATATAACTTTCATGCTTCTATAATCTCAGAGGAATAAATGTTTGTTTCTCCTCAGGGACAGACAACAGGGACAAGTGCAATATCTGAATCGCTCAGAGATGTTTTGAAGAACCTCTTTAGTTCAGTTTCTGCAGCCGTAGTGCTGAGTGCAAAGCCTRCAGATATAAAGGATGTGCAGGTAAGTTCTATTCCTACCTAAATATTTTGCTAAGTCATCTTCTGGCCACTGTTTTTATCATCTATTCAGGACCCACAAATGAAAAAGCTCAACGCAATTCAGCGATCAGAAATAGCTAGAACACATACTCTAAAACAACGTGGCCTTTGGCACTGAAGGCTTTGCCACACTCCCTTGTGRCTGTTTGTTGATGTTGCACCCCACCACATGTCACTGCACTGTATCAACATGTCGGTAGTTAAAACACTTGGTGTTTGCACGCGCACATCCCTCTGGTGTTGCCTGCTTTTCACAGAGCGTGCAGAGCACCAGCGCGGTCCCTCAGGGCACCAGTCCGCCCAAGCCTCCCAGGGCTCACGAGCTGAAGCTCCTCGTCAAGAACATCACAGTCAACCTACCTGATCACAGTGCTGCAGGTAACGTAGGCCACGTGGGGCAGCTCGCCTCCACGCGGGTTTTTACTTATTTAATTGTTTGTTTGTTTGCTTCTGCTGAAATCATTCGGAAGTTCTAGTTTAGGCTTGTCCCCAAACTAGTGGGAGGCAATTGCTGTGCTCTGAGACAKGGATTCAGCATTGGTTGCACAAAACTCTGTCTGGTTAAGGTATTTGATTATTTAAACATCTTGACATCTTGATCTTTTTATTGAAAACAACAACAACAAAAAGAACAAATTAAATTGCACCTAATTTATAAAATAGGTCAAATATTTTTTGGAGTTTATTTTTAATTTCTGAAAGTTACCTCTTTGGGTGTWTCCAAGATTACAGAGGATGATGGCCTCACCACTAAGCTGATGCTAGTGAGGTTTATTTATAGCTGCTTTTTTGGGGGCAATTTGTGATGTATGTACAACTCTTCTCCTTTATGTAAACTCTTTTTAAACATTATGTTTTGCTGCTTTTGTTTTTTCTTCTCTAATGAAGTACTTTTTTTGTGAGGGTGGGGGAGAGGGGAACCTCTTGACAAAAGGTGAATGAAGCCAAAAAAGGAGGTCACTGCCTAATGAGGTTGCTCTGTTGCTTTGGGAAAGCTCCAAGCCTGTCTAACCAGTATTAAAGCTTCTTCAAGTACAGGCCTGCCTGGATCAGCGCTGGAGGCTGAGCGGGATACTGCCGATTGCTCCAGAGAATGCARATTTGAGGTCCTGTGGCTGATGGTCACTGACAGCTCCATAGCTGTTTTTTTGTTGTTGTTATTTTTTGAGGGTTTTCCTGGGTTTCATTTTTTYGTTTTAGTGGTAGTTTGTGGCTGCYAAKTTGGTGATGGCACTAGTTTGGGATCAATATATCCTACTTGCAGTATTCCCTTTTTTTTTCAGTTAGGCACAATAATTTTCTGTCCCAGATTGTTGGCTAACGCTTCTTTGCTCATCCCAGTTGGAAGGGATTTCTCTAAAACTTTCTCCAGGCTGTTTTGTGGAAACAGATTATTTTTGTAGTAACTCTGGAAGTCTTTGCAGTCCAATATCAGGTAAAAATAAATCCGTGCTGGAAACAGTAGGTTGAAAAAAAAAAAAAAAAAAAAAAAAAGAGTTCATTGTTATGCTACAGTTTCATAGTGCAAGCTAAGTTTTTCACGAGAGTGATTGTTTTTGGGTGCCTGTATTTCCCACCCACCCATCCTTTTTTGTTTGTTTGGTGGGTTTTTTTTTTTTTGGGGGGGGGGGGGTGGAGTGCGGGTTTGGTTTTTGGAAGGAACCAGATTGTGGTACCTTTATAAGCACCAAATGTATATGGTAAAGGATCCCTCCTACGGGAGGCTGCTCTGCCCCTTCCTTGGAAATGGAGGGGAGAGGGGACAATTAATGTGACCTACTATGTTCTGCCTACTAGGTAGGTAGAACTAGGTACCYACCTTGTAGGTTCTACCTAGGTAGAACCTGCTCTGCAGTGTTGGCTGCTCTACCATGTTGGCCGTTCTACCACAGTGGTAGAACACTGTTCTACCACGATGGCCCAGATTTTTGAGGTCCRAATGACCGTTTGTCCTTCTGGAGGGAATTTTGCTGGATCCCTAGCAACCGCAGTAGTCTGMACGTGTGGGAGGTTAGTACGAGAAATCGAGGCCGTGCTGGGCCTGTAGCCGCTGGCCCGGTCTGCCCGAGGCGGCCAACACGGCCCGGCTGAGGCGCCGGCCGCTGCAGGGGCCCGGGCGCCCTGTGGGTGCTGCTGCCTCCCCTTTCACGGACCAGGTGCCTCCCCTTCCAGCCTCTCCGCCTTTTAGCTGCTGCTGCTGCCTCTCCTGGCCCTCCCCTGGCCCTGCCCGTGCCCGCACACGTGCTCCCGAGTTCCTGATGTTGGCTATAAACCGCAGGTCTCCCAGGGACAGCAGGCAGCGTGGCTGGTGCTTGGTTTACAGAAACCTAGTGGTGAGGYTCTCGCTGCTGTCGCTGATATTTGGGAGCTCTGAGACTCGGTGGTGGTTGTTGGTGATGTGAAAAACGTAGAGAGGAAGCTAGTTTATGAGAAACACTTTGTGCAAACTGTTTTCCTTTGCAGTAACAGTGGAACTACTCCAATATGCCAGTTAGTGACTCCACCGAGCTGTGAGATCAGGATATAGATATTTCTGCACCAGCACTCTAAAATGCTATGGATTTGTTAAAAGCTGCAGCCCTTAAAGCCATTGTTAATTAACATTACTGTGATCRTTCGCTTGCTTAAAACAAACAAAAACAGTCAACCCCAACCCCCTTTTTTGATTTCCAAAGAAATCACTGTGATTTTTTACCCAGTAGAAACTGTAAAAAAAAAAAAAAAAAAGGTCTTTTTTTCTTTTTTTGTTGTTTAAGACGCTCAAAGCAACTTTACTTTGTCAGCTGTCACCCCCTGCTTGACATTTGTTCTGTGTCCCTGGCCCTTTTGGTCATTTCATGCCTTCATACAACCATTTGCTTCATGCCAGAATACAACCTGGGCCGTGTTTCACACTGCTGAGCCGTTCACTGGCCAGGGCTGATCCTGGCTTGGCCACAGCCATTAATGCCCATGGAGCACAAGCTGGATGGAAGGAACAAGGTTATTCTGTGGCTCRGTGAGGAAGCGTTTCCAGGTGTTTGTTCCAATGGGCAGTCCGTAAGGACGAGGGTCTTTGCTTTCTTTTGAACAAATGTGCATACTGGCGATGGAATATTAATATTTGGATATGGATTTGTTTGCTCTTACAGGCAGCACAAACCTCATGTGTATACTTCAGTTGAATGACCCTATGCAGAAGTTTTCCAGCTCTGTAGCCAAAAATGCTGCAAATCTCTTTTGGAAAGAAGAGTTTATCTTGTAAGTAACTCACCTACTGAGCAGTCTTTTTTTCTTTTTTTTTTTTTTTATTATTTTTTTTAAAAATTTAACCTATGTGAGGTTCCAGGGGAAGAATGTGTGTTTTGAAATACATCTGTCACGCGTGTCAGGTGCCTTCAGAATTCGTGACCCTGTGTGTGCAGGGGGGTTGGATTAGGTGATCTCTAAAGGTTCCTTCTAACCTTAAGGATTCCGTGATTCTGTGATCTGGCTCTGGTAGGGACTTCAGGATACCTAAGTACCATTTGCATGGATAAGAGAACAAACAAGCTAGGTCTTCCCTGGCAAATATCTGACTAGCCAATATGAGCAGTAACCAGCATGATAAATTACCCCGTGCTTTAAGTTAAGCACCCAAGAAAGCATTAGCAAGCTTTTGAATTCCCTTTTTTATTTAAAACAATGTTTGCAGAAATGTAGTATTTTTCACATCCCTCCCTCGCTCCAAGGGGAAATGTGTGTGAGGAAGAAAAAAAAGATTATCTAAAAGAATGGTAGCTACAACTAAAATGAGAGTGTAAAATTAACTAGGTTTTTGTGTAAAACAAAAGCGAGACTTTCAGGTGGCTCGCCCAGTTTTCGGCGATTTATACAGTTTCTGTGAATACAATCAAAGAGTTTCAGGACTGTTTGCTTTTGAATTCCCGCCTTTTACTGACAGAGCAGAAGGGACCTGGCAGCTTCCCTATCGTTTGGGTGGGCTGTGGGAGCCGCTCATGGGGCGGCCGGAGCGCGGGCAGGGAAKGGGGCTGCCGTGGGACCTGCTGCCCTTCCTGTCTTTCCTTCCTATRGCTTTTCCCTGCCTGCTTCTCTCCAGACACCAAAGGACAGTGCTGTGGGGTTGGGTTTGTTTTCCTTTAAGTTTGACGTCGGGAAGCGCAGCAGGAGTTGCCTGGCTTGAAGGAAGGCACCTGCGCTGGTCGTCAGGAGCAAGAGCTCCGCTCGCCTGGGTGCGAGTAGGGGCTGGAGGAGGCGGGAAGTCCTGGAGAGAGCAGAGGAAACGTGATGCTGCGCGACCGCCCTGCAGAGCTTAGTCCTGCTGCGGCGCCTAAAGGGGCGCGAGGAGCCGGGCGGGCTGGGCTTTGGCTTCGAGGCCTGACCTGCCGCCCTTGGGAAGGGAGGGCGGCTCTGCCGAGCGGCACAACCGACGCGTCCCGGCTTCTCCCGTCCCCGGCTTCTCCCGGCAGGGAAGTTCCTAAGAATTCCCCTTCCTACTGAAAGGGCAGAGAGGGGCCAAGCAAGCAGGATGTGATTAAGCTGCCTGGAATTTGGCCTCCRCACTAGGGGGAATGCTGGGTTTCCCGTGGCGTTGGGAATTCTTTGGAAGCGCCTGAAAGAAGCTTGGGGAAGTCCTGTGGGATTTTTGAAGATAAACGTTCAGGATTTGATTCATATTTTCTTTCAGGTTTATTTTTCCCCCGTCCCTCTTTTCCTTCAAACAAAACGCCTCAGAGCCTGCGTGTTTTACACTTTAGCTTTATAGGAAGAGGAACGAGTGATACTTTTGAGGTGCTTCCTCTGGAGTTTTGGAGAAATAGGAGGACGTGACAGTGGCAGGGAAAAGGYTGAAACCTGCCACATGGATAGAGTCCCAAAGCATCTCATGGATGGGAAATGTTTGAAACCAGTAACACATCATCCAGATTYGGAAATGTAGAAAAGTAAAATACATATATGCACACCCTCAAGGATTGTTGCCAGAATCCTTACTGAAGGAACAAAAAAAGGAAAAGGGTACAAAATCAAGTTGAGAAGCCTCCTCAGTAGGTAGTGAGTTTGCTTCCCTGGCCTGAGTGCAGCCGAGGTCTGATATCTCTTGTCTAACCCAGCTCATAGCGTAATGCAAATACCAGTAGTTCTGCTAGTAGCTCAGATCTGTTCTGTTAGGTAGATCTGGGYCTTACTCTCTTGGAACATTCTTGGGCGTTATTTTGGGAAAGCAATGACCACTSTTCTCGTGTAACCCCTGTAACTGCCTTTATTTGATTATTTTCATCCTTCTTTTGCCRAAGACTTTACTGCTTGGGTGGGATACTGGTCAGCCTTGAAGAAGTTGTTGGTTGGACCTGTTCCAACATCTCAATATACAAATTTGGGGAAAACTCATTTTCAGGCTTGCCAGAAAGAAGAAGAAGAAAAAAAAACACAAAAAAACCCAACAGCTTCTTGCTTTTGTGTAGCCATCAGACAATGGACCAGCATTAGCTTGAACAGCAGTATTAGTTACTAAGAAGAGGAAAACCTCTCTAATCTTTGGCAACCAGTTCTTGGTAACAGTGCTTGGAGGTACCCAAGTTTGTTGCTCATCCCTTCTCTTACCTTTATGTGAGGCCATGAGAAACTAGTCCTCTGACAATGTGGCCTCCTTCAGTTGGCCAGTTTTAGTGCTTAGCTTAGTGCACGATAAGAAAAGTTGTGGTGCTGGGAACTAGAAAGAGAAGAGGGAAATCTCGTAAGTGGGGAGGAAGTTAAAATACTTGCATGCTAAGGCCTGACACGGTTTCTTTTACTTCACAGTGAATTAAGTGCCAAATCAAAAGCATTGCAACTGCAAATTGTAGAAGATGGAAAGTCGGAAAGTAAGTACAAAAATGGATTTATTTTGCGTAGTCACTTCCCAAGCACTGCTAAATGTTGATGTTTTACTTCTACCTGGCTGTATAGTTGTATAAGAAATTTTCTGAGACCTGCTTACAGGTGTAGATGTGTTCTGCTGGCTTGTCTTGGTAGTCAAATCAGATACGCTTCAGTAATGGCTCTAGAGAACTGTAGATGCAGGAACAATGACAGTCTCCATAAACTTGTCTTCATAATAAGGTGCCAGAGTTAAAAATACACGGAAAATTGCAGTGTGAGTGTTTGGATGGAGCCTGACTCACATGAGTTAAGYGCTATGTATGTATGTATGTATGGAAGCATCTGCAGGCATAAGAAAAAGTGCCCTGTGGAAGCCTCTGTGTCCTAGGTAGAGTTAAATTTATGAAGAAAACTTGAACCTGTGTGTCTTTCCATCAGAATGCTTACTCTTCCATCTGCTGATAATCCTGTTTTTTCAGACTTCTTRACTTTTAGCAGATCCACTGTGAGTGCCTTTGTTTTCAAGTTACTCTAAGGACCTAAATCCTTCCTTTCCAAGCTCAGAGGCCGCTTAGTCAGTACCCAGCATAACACACGTTAATGACAGATATATTGGATTAAATGTAAAACATGGAGAATTAAATATCTTTATTGATTATTGTTGCAGTTGCAATTAGCCTTTGGTTAAAAAAAGAAAAAAAAGGCATTTGTTACACCACTGAATTTTCTTCAGCTGGAAGAGCATTGCATTTCTAGGGAAATTTAGGGGAAGGTAGGTTTCTAAACCAGAGAATCTTCTTATACGAGATTTATAAACTTGTAAACTCCAAGTACTTCTTTACCTGACCTTCGTTAAAGTGATGACATGTTGTAAATTCTTTAAATATATTCTGCGTGTTCATTTGCTGGTACAAAAAAATGCTCTAGGTATAAAGAATGTGTACTCACCTCCTGAATCAATGTGCTTGCCTCTGGTTATATCAGGTGTCATCTGTAAAAACTGAAGCATTGCTTTCAGTTGTTCAGATGTTGTTTGCTTTRGTTCTGTCAATCATATTCATCTTAGTTCAGGGAAAAACTGTAAAATATTGGCCCAAATGCTCCACACTCGACAGTAAAAATCTGCTTTTACTGTGATGTCTGTTATAATGGGTAAAGTAAAGGGTATAGTGGGTAATAAATTATTAAATATGGGTTAGGTAATAATGTGTTATCTAAGCCATAGGTAATAAGCAATGCAGCCAAGTAGAATGTGTGTGTGCGATATTGAATTATGGGGGGCTGGCTTTTTTAATAGTCTAAATATGGAAAAAAAAAAAAGTAGTAATTCCTTACTGATAATCAGTGATTTTTTTTACAGGATTGGGAAGTCAATGGTAGATGTATTAATAAAACTCTCTAAAGTGTAAAAYTCCAAACTGACTATTGCGACAGAATTATGTGGATTGCACTTCATGAATTGTTCTCCTCAGAGAGGAAAAAAAAAAAAAAATGACCCTAAGGATATAGGATCTATATGCAGTCATAAAATGGGAACCCATGCTTGGATAAAGAGCAGTATTGCCTATACCAAAATATCTTTAGTAATGAGTCTATCAAACAATGTCAGTAAAATTCCTCTTCATGCTGAGAATGCAACTCATTTTCTGCCTGTTTTCTTGAAGAAAAATAACCCTACTTGGCTGCACTGACAGGCACTTTCCTTCTTTCTGTATCACTTTTGCTGTTGTTGTTTTTGTTGCTTTCCAAAAAATTTGAATGGAAAGCTCAAGTAGAGTCCTGGTAGCAAGGAAGGAGCCAGGTAATCTGCACATATTGATTTCTCTGTCTTTGGATTTCTTGGAAAAAGAAAATAGGATAAAACTCCCAAGTTGCTTCTTTGCAGCATTCTTAACAGTAATGAAACCTTTAGTGGTTCTTTTCCCTACAGGCTTCAGGTAGGACTTGTGTTTTGATAATATTTAATATTTTTCATTTTCTTTTTTTTTAAGACAGCTAGCATTTTATCCCTGAAATCAAATAGTAATTTTCCTAATAGTTTGCTCCAGTCTAACATATCTAATAAACTAATGGGAGAAATACGAGAACCGCAGAACTTGTACTTAATATACAATTAAGAAAAAAATACTTCTAATGAGATACACCAATTTAACTGGAATCCAGGGAGTGTTCTCTGAAATCAAAGACAAAAGATAATTTGTTGTGGAGACCCTAACGGTAACATCCTCAATATTTCCAGTTTTTTTTTCTTTCCCTCTAAGCGTTCAGCATATGGAGGGGGAAATGGCCAGAGATGCCTGCAAACAAGTCGTGCTTCGTGTCTCCACTCTGTCCTGTGGCACCCATTAGCTCCTGCACGAGGAGCAGTGGTTAAAGGGAAAGCAAGCTCTGGAAAGGCTCTGTGCTGGGAAGTGCTTCCCGCAGACGGCTTTCAGCCTTCCCTGTCCCGTGGGGCTTCCGTGGAGCGTGGGCTGCAGCGGGCGCTCACCGCGCTGCTCTCCTTCCCTGCAGGTGCTTGGCTGGCCAGGGCGACGGCTCCTCTGGACCTCTTCAGGAAGCAGCCCGCGGGGCAGCAGAGCTGGGCGCTGAGCGGCCCCACGCCGGGGCCGCCCCTCGGATCCCTCTCCGCAGAGGTACCTTGTGTTCYGGGGTGCCCCTCGGATCCCTCTCCGCAGAGGTACCTTGTGTTCCGGGGCCGCCCCTCGGATCCCTCTCCGCAGAGGTACCTTGTGTTCCGGGGCCGCCCCTCGGATCCCTCTCCGCAGAGGTACCTTGTGTTCCGGGGCCGCCCCTCGGATCCCTCTCCGCAGAGGTACCTTGTGTTCCGGGGTGCCCCTCGGATCCCTCTCCGCAGAGGCACCGCGCGCTCCGGGGCCGCCCCTCGGATCCCTCTCCTCAGAGGCACCGCGCGCTCCGGGGCTGCCCCTCGGATCCCTCTCCTCAGAGGCACCGCGCGCTCCAGGGTTGCCTGCCGGCCCCACGGCTTCCACGGGACACCCCAGCACCCTGGCACTGCTGCGGGCGGCTGCTCACGGCTCTTGAGCGGGGATAGAAATGTTTGCAAAAGTACTAGGTAGGAGGGTTAGTGGCTTCATTGCTTAATTGTGCCTCTGAAATGATTGTTTTTGTTTTTTTATCTTCCTTTTGTCCTTCCTAGTTCTCTTTTGTGGAACCGAATGAACTGAAGGCTTGGCAGACTTCATCGCCGCTGCCAGCCGCCAAGATAGAGAAGGATCGAACGGTGATGCCCTGTGGGACTGTGGTCACCACTGTAACCGCTGTGAAAACCAAACCTCGCCTCGAAGGGAGGGCTTCTCCRCTGAGCACGGGTGAGGCAGCCCAGTGCTCCCTGTGTTCACTGCCAGGGTCACTGTGGGGAGCAGAAGCGGTGGGAAGGGAGGCCGCTGTCATCCAGGTGTCCCTRAAGTGCTGGTGGCAGGGTTTGTGTCCTGCACTAGCAGCCTTTTCATTTTCATGAATCACAGAATCACAGAAGGGTTGAGGCTGGAAAGGACCTCTAGAGATCATCCAGTCCAACCCCCTGCTCCAGCAGGGACACCCAGAGCACAGGGCACAGGGCGGCATCCAGGCGGGTCTGGAAGATCTCCAGAGAAGGAGACTCCACAGCCTCCCTGGGCAGCCTGTGCCAGGGCTCTGGCACCCTCACAGGRAAGAAGTTCCTCCTCACATGGAGATGGAACTGCCTGTGTTGCAGCTTRCACCCATTGCCCCTTGTCCTGTCAGGGAAGGACTATGAAGTCCTTGCTGAACCCCGTGGCAGTGACTRGTGCTCTGTTGAATATTCTGTACATGCTTTAAAGTGTCACAGTAGAGAGATAAACAGAAGAACAAGGTTTCTGTGTCTGACTTTCCCCACTGCAAAAGCATCAGTCTCTTAGAGTGTCTGCCCATGACAGAGTGTCTTGGGTCTTATAACCTCCTCATGGGTAGTGAGGATGGGTGTCCTCTTGTGACCAAGCTCTTTAGGGTGTCTTCAGAAAGCACTTGAGAGGCTTTAGAAAATCTTTAGTGGCTTTTTGGTTCCGCTTGGGGTGGGAAGTAGGGAAGTGAAACCTCTACACAGTCTTTGTGTGAAGGCACCCAAAGAACTGCATTCTTTTAAGCTGTCAAAGTAGATGACTTATTTTAGTAGGTGTTGCCTAGCGTGTTACAGTGAATACTAAAAAACTCTGAATTCCTCCACGTTAAAGGTCTTCTGGAGTCATGTTACCATAGACAACATTTGTTGAGAATTTGTGTTAAACAGCTTTCTCAGACACAGTTGGAATGGGATTTAACGCAGGTGTAACAAATTATTACTATCTTGGTTGTAAGTGCCCTGAATAGTTGAAGTAACTAACCACAACTTGCTTCTCAAGATTCTCCTGTGAAAACTCCAGTTAAAGTGAAGGTGATTGAAAAGGATTTCTCTGTTCAAGCTGTCCATTCCCATGGTGCTCCAGTCAGCAAAACTTTGTCATCTTCAGATACAGGTAACAGAAGCCCTTAAAGCTCCTAATTGGAAGAAATCTCTCTTTGTTGCACGTGGCATTACTGTAATCCTGTTAAAATAACAGCAAAACCATATGGCTACGGCCTTTCAACAGGCACTGAGATGTTTATACGAGCACAGCCTGTGGTTAGGGATGTGACAAGTGATTTTGCAATAGAAATCTGCTGTTCATTGGTGAGGTAAATTACAAATTTTGAAAAAGTAACAATGAGCTGTGGCTTGGAGAGGCAGGGCAAYCAGAGAGAAGCCACCTTGGCTCTGCTCCTCCTTTTGAATGCGAGATGCCACCTCTGTTAAACCATGAGGGACACGGCACAAGATCCCAAGCAAAATCCCTGGCAGTTGCTGTCTCGCCATTGCGGAGCCTCCTGCCCAAGGGACGTCCTTGTGGCCTGTTCAGTGCTGCAAGGCAGGCTGACAGAGCAGGAGCACTGGTCTCTCAGCCCTGCCGCTCTCGCCGTGCCTGTTTGGCCACCTTCTGAAGCCACCCGGCACACAGACAACGCGCTGTCAGAACATCAGGTTGAGCTGATAATACCTTTACTTAAGAAKTCATTACGCCTACATTTCAGCTTAGTAAACTTGCTTTCGGCTCTGTCATATTTGACCTTGCTGAGGTGCAACTCTGGATCCTCAGCTTTTGCCTTCAGTCCTTCGCATGGCCACCTCTCATTCTCCCTGTTGCTCCATAGGCAACAGTGGTGAAAGAGGAGATCCAGCCTCGCTGCAAATGGCAGATGTTGTGGAGTTCAGTTTCCTCTGTGCAGGTCTGAGGTGCACGTGGGGACAATCTGGAGGCGATGTAGCCTGCTCCTGGCACAGCCAGAGTGCCTGGTGGGTGGCAGAGGTAGAGATGGGCTGCAGAAGGGACAAAAAGTGGGGAGGAGGATGAACCAGTAACCGCAAATAGCAAACAGTGCTTGAATCTCTTCTGGATCTACACTAAAAAGTATTTTTTAAAGCAGTGAGGTGCTACTGAGTTAATTTGGGAAAGGTTGGAGTGCTACAGAGACTTCTGTGTTGACTGCCATAACTGATTATGGGATCAAAGGTGCAAAGTTTTTACTGGAAAACTCATCTGAATTCAAGCTAGAGCRGATTAATAGACATGGGCTCTGTGTTTCTTTTTATCTCAGTGCAGGGGAGTTTCTGTGAAATGTTTATRCAGCGCAACAGGAAGAGTTACTCATTAGAACAAAGCTTGAGTTGAAACACAAAAGAGCATTCAGGATGGCARTAACTGAAGTGTTACATTACTGTTACAAACATCATGCCACTGTGAAGCCCCTTCTCTGCTCCTAGCTAGAAAACAGCAACAAGTACTACAGAAAAAAATGCTATAGCCTTACTATGATTTTAAATGATAACAGTATTAACAATTGCCAAGTGCCACAGACTGTGTCTAGGATAAAGTTTCCTTAACTTTCTTAGCACTGTTTGTTCCAAGCTTGATGAACTTGAATAGTGAATATTCAGTGTGCCTGAGGTGCATGCATATCATGTGACAGACGCAGCCCCACTTCAAACACAAGCACAACGAGTATTTTTAAGAGCTTTCTATAAGGCAGGTTCTCTCTTCCTGTACTATATTTGTAAGTGAAAAGGAAGAGCAATGTCCAGGCTGTAGGGATGTAGGGACAGCTTATGAAGAGCAGAGTAGCTGCCACTTTTCCTTCCCATCCCATCGTAGTGTCCTCGGCAAATCTGGACATGCTGAGCCGTGAGAGGGAGAGAGAGCAGAAGAGCTGCCTGAAGCAGCTCAGGCCGTGCCAGCGTCCTGCCTCGTGCTGGGTTAGCACCAGGGCTCTAAATGGCCGTGGTAGCTGACACCATCCAGCCCTTAGAGCAGGTGCCAGCTGCTGCCCTGCAGTAGCACTCATGCTTGGAAACAGCAGGATGTTCTGTATAAGCCTCCAAATCCTCCTGTGCGCTTTGGGTTGGATCTGTAAGCAAAGCTTCTGTGCCTGTTTTCAGACAACTGCGTCCCAGAAGTCAGGAAGAAAAGTCTGACTCTCTCTGTTCTCAATTTTTGTCTGTTTTTCTCTTTCCCCTCTGAAAATGGTTTTCTTTCCAGAGCTGCTGGTTTTGAATGGCACTGACCCTGTGGCAGAAGCAGCTATTCGACAGCTAAGCGAGTCTGCAAAGCAGAAGCTGAAGTCTCCTAGAAAGAAAAGCACCATTATCATATCAGGGGTGTCAAAGGTAAGCAAGAGAGCAATGCTTGGTTTAATGCTCAGTACCAAGGAGTCTTTGCTTCACAGACTGTGTCACTAACTGCACGTGTGTTCTATCTAGCTCGTGTATGTCTGATGAAATAACAGTTTCATAACTGTTTCAAGTTGGCCAGGTCTGGGTGGGGGTTGTTTTGGGGATGTTTTTGTTTGTTTGTTTAAGGCTTAGACTGAGCCTGACTGAAAATGCCCTGACAGGTGAGAATGGAGGACAGTCAAACCTTGTGCTGTGCCATAGAGTGAAGATGCAAAGGAAGAGCATGAAAGAAAGAGTTTTCTACCAGTTAAACTTGTTTAAGCAAATACTTGTTGTAGAGTTGTCTTGCTCTGCACTGCTTCCCTAAAAACTTATGAGGAAAAGCTGGTCCAGCTGACACTGAGCTGTGCTGAGGTGGGGAGAAGGAGGCTCAGCTACCACTGCGCAAGACCCTCGGTGGTAGCTGCCCCTCATTCTGTCTGTTGGGTCTGTTTAGGAAATGGGGCACTGGGGTTGTGTGGGCTTGTGTCTAGCTGACACAGCTGCCAAGAGGTCTTGATGAAGTATTTTGATACTTATTTTCCCAAAAATTCTGAGAGACTTTTCTCCATGGAGGCTGATACTTCATTACGGCAGTATGTGTGGCAGAAAGCATAGGTACTTGTAGCTGGAGATAGGTGGGAGGCACATAATTATTTCTTTTTTTTCCAATAATTTGGCTTTCGTGGTGTGATTGGAACTTGGCTATCCGCTCCTCTTCCTCAGCAGAGCCACGGGACGCTCCCGTCCCGCCGTGGCCCCCCTTTCGGTTAGGCCTCAGCGGCACAAGCAGGAGCGTGGGAGAGGAGAGCGCAGAGCGGCCGCGGGGCCGCTGGTGTGACCCCAGACGAAASGCGCGCTGGCGCCAGCGCCCGCTCTCTCTCTGCCTGCGCAGGTCTCTCTCTCTCAGGACGGCGAAGCCGCGCTCATGAGGGACTACGCGGCAGCCATGGAGGGCGCCCGCCCGCAGGCACAGGCGCCTCGCGAGCAGGAGCGCCGGGCCGCCGTCGCCGCCGAGGAGAAGCTCCCGGCGAGTGCTGCGGAAGCGGCCCCCGCTGCCGACCCCCAGCACGGGGAGCGCGAGGCCGGGGGCTCCGAGGACGGCAGCCAGCAGTGGGATGGCGGCAGCGACGGCAACGCGCTGCGGGAGCAGGCGGCGTGCGGAGAAATGTCGGGGAGCTCGCTGAGCGTCTCCGAGAGCGGCAGCCTGAAAAAGTCTAAAGGTCAGTGAGCTCCCCTTGCGTTTGCTGCTGCGTTCTGCACCTCCCTGGCCGCGTCACGCGCCGCTCTGGGTGGCTGGTCCTTGATGGCTGAGTTTTGTCCTTAAACTTCTTGGAATTGTGGGAAGCAGCCTCACGAACGGCCCTAAGGACCGGCGTTGTGCGGCGCTCGGATGGGCCTGTCCAGGCTTCCTTATTCATCAGGAAATAGAAGGGCTCATCCTTGGAAGTTGAAGGGTGGATCACTATGTCCAGCTGAATTAGTGGCCAAATTGCCAATTCCTCCACGAAACCTGTGTTTTTATGTGTAAATAAAGACACGGGCTGTACCTGAAACCCCTTTACAGAGGTGAAAATGGCAGAGTGGCACAGTTGCTTTCCAGGGTGTTCCTTTCCCTCCCTTCTGTCTCTGAGCACCCARCTTCCCTGGCTCCACAAAAAAGTGTGTTCAGGCAGCCCCAGGGCAAAGCCAGAGGTGCCCTCCTCACCTTTAAAACAGTTTTCCCCTTTCACCCTTTTCGTCCATATGCATTTGCTAAAGAAAATAGAAGTAGGGTGATTTTTAGAAATGAGAGAGCTTAGAAGTATTATTTTTCATGTGGAGCCTGGAAGATTTTAGGAAGCTGTATAAGGTTTTGCAAAACCTTAGCCCTCTGTAGTGTGTTCTCAGAAACAAAAGAAGTGGAAGCCTGTACAGGAGCTGTTGCTTATTTTTGTTTTTCAATAGGCTCATGTTTTTCCCAGTGCAGGACATTGCAAAGGGAATTAGGCTTCTAAAGATTCTGGTTACATGGTATGGGATAGGACTGCTAAAAAACACAGATGATCTCTATGAGATCGTAAAAAACTTTAAAAGCTATGTTAAAAAAAAAAAAAAAAGTATTTAAACAGATCTTCTTGTGGAAGACTGGAACCCCCGCTCTGTCACAGCCCAGTAGTTTTCACGGGGTGAGGGAGCCTATTTCCACCTCCCCGTCTCCAGTCAGCTTTGATAGTTAAAGGGAAATAATCTGAGAAAACAGAAACCTTGAAAGGCAAACAAACAAGCAAACAAAAAAGATCTGCTTTAAAAAAGCTCATATATAGTGTTAATGATTTAAGATTAGCACTGTCTTAGCATTTTTTTTTGCATATTTTTTTTTCTGCCTCTCTGACTTCCTCTTTCTTACCCATTCCCTTTTGTAAACTTGAGGACTACTATACCAGGCAGAATTAATTGACTACACAGTAAGTTTTCTTTATGTGTGTGGGACAGCACGGAAGGCTGGGGAGGCACCTGTACGTTGCTGGTCTCCATCATGACCATTCCTGTYCTCTCTGGTTGTCAGTCTTTTCCTGCACGCCGTGTGGGACCCTGCAGTGGGATAGGCAGGCACAAAGTGCTTAATTTCAAAGCTGCTGCTCAGTTTTCCACATCTCTCTTTCTAGCCTAATTCCCATAACTGTCAGTATCTTGGCAGGTATTTACATGCCCCTCTGGCTAAAAGCTGTTTTGGAAGTGATCTCCACTCATGTGCAGCTAGATGCGGGAGCAGATCTTCCCCTTTTCACACAGAGGAGACTCGAGGGTGGCCCGAGCCCCACAGGCCTTGTCCGAGCCCCAGCGCTGCCGCTCGGGAGCCAGGGAGGCCGCTCGGGGCCTGCCACGTTGCGGCCCCGCTGTGTGGGCTGGCCCCGCGCTCGGCAGCGGCTGCCCACGGTCCCTCAGCGGGCGCCACTTGTCCCCGGTCACCAAATTTCTTCTTGCCAAGTTTCTTGCTTCGGTTCTGATCCCTACTTTGGGAAGTGGCTCTGCACTGATAGGACTAAACATCTGCTTCTGTCCTGCTGCTGCTGCTGGCACCACTTCAGCTGGGGCTGCCAAGGCTGCTGCGCAGAGCAGCTGATGCGGGAACAAAAGCTCCGCAGCAGCGGGGCCTCGGCAGCCCCGGCAGCCTTTGCACAGCAGCAACTGTCAGTGTCATGGGCAGAACGGTATTTCTTTCATGCTGCTGACAGCAGCTCGAGGTGGTAAGCCTAAGCCAAGCTTTTGGTGTTGGCAGAAGGATGAAGCCGAAGGTGATGGGAGAGCAGGCAAGGCTGGAGTCCGTGAGTCCCTGCTGCCTTCGGCTGGCTTCTGCTTTGATCCCATGGTGCTGCACGTATGGAGAACGCATAGGTGCCGGGAGCAAGGCAGAGCCTATGGAATGGCTGCGGGCTTGCTCTTAAACTAAGCAGTAGCCACTCCGAGCGCTTGGGAACTGTTGCAATGGGAACAAAGGCGCATCTGGCTGCGCGGACAGAGCGGCCACGGGCAGCCTCCCTGCAGCTGCYGCTGCGCAGAACAACGTGCAGCCTGTGTGGGGCCCTGGGAAGACAATTCCAGCCTTCAGTGAAACAGTACCATGTGAATGGGGAACGATGTGTTCCTTTTTGTGTTGATGGCAACCAGGAAAAGCAGAAGGGTGACAGGGATGGCTGCGCGGAGAAGGAGCAGGCTGGGTGTCCCTCACAGCTGGGAGCTGCAGCCGGAGCCTGCGGAAAGGGGCATCTTCAGGTGGGGGCTGCCAAAGCCGGAGGCTTGCAGGGGAAGAASGTGCCGCTGGTGTGCCGTGCTGCGGGCACGAGTGCCTGCTGAGACGCCAGCCGCAACGGCCAGGGCTGCGGAACGGGCTGGGCACCGCCTCAGGGGGCAGGGCGCAGCAAAATGAGGCAACCTGAACCAGCTTAAGCACRGAAGGGATTTGGGAGCATTTCTGAGCCTGCTGGGAGCAGGTATAATAGTATTTTTAATCTGCTTGAACTGACTGGTTACTTCTAGCAGGATTTTAGAACAGCAAATGTTTCATAATCTCCAGTTGGTGTTCCCAAATCCTTGTAGAAAACATTTTGTCTGCGTGTATGAGGCCACAGCATGAAGGTTGACTTCCAAGGACTGTTCTCGAAACCAACAGTATACACTTGGCATTAAAATGCCAGCCTCACTTTGTAGGCTGTTTTTTCTTCTCATGTGCTTAGATACTTTACTTCCTTCTGTTTCACTCTYTTCATAAACACATTCTGTCCTGTTAATCTACTGGAAGGATTAAATAGGCCCATTGGGCATGGGAGAACCCAGCACAGGACCCACACCAGATGCTGTGCACCTGCCTGTGTGTTTCAGCACTACCAGAGCTCTCAGAAGCGTAGTAGAAACCAGTCAGGTGTCAGAAAGGGCACTTGTACAGGATGCTGCATTGGCTCTGCAGAAGTTGAAATTGGAATATTTGCTGCTTGCTCGCTCACAGACATGTTTGCCATTATCTTTTTTTCTACAGAATCAAAGAATGTTTAAGGTTAGAAGGGACCCCTAGGGATCATCCAGTCCAACTCCCCTGCTCCAGCAGGGACACCGAGAGCATGGGGCACAGGGTGGCATCCAGGCGGGTTTGGAAGACCTCCAGAGAAGGAAAGGAAAATTTTCCTCCCTTCTTTCAGTGAAGGGCYGTTTCTGCAGGACCTGAAGGAAAAACCATTCCTTTTCCCTTCAGGGCTCCCCTAGCACTGCACCTGAGCTCATCTCCCTGAGCTGTCCCGCTTACTTTAAGGGCGTGCGTGTGTGCGTAGGTCTAGGACTGCCTCCGTCCGTGGTGCACGCAGGCGACGGGGTCTGCGTGACCCCTGCACGGCGGGAGGCGCAGCGCGAGCTGCGGTGCAGCCTGCGGTTCGTGGCGGTGCTCAGCCTGGAGCGCGCTGCAGCACAAGGCCCTGCCCTTGCGCTCCCTGATCTCCGAGGTCTTTTCCAACCACGATGACTCTGTAGCTCTCTGAGCAGCACGTGACGCGTGTGCCACGTGCAGAGAGGGTGTCAAACACTCGAGTTGCCACTGCRTGATGTAACGGGAATGACTTGGTCCAAGGGGGGCCTGTTGTGACCTCTAGGTTAGAAACAATCAGTATTTGTGAAAAAAAAATAGCTTCACCACACTATTAGCTTTCCAATGTGGCTTTGCTGGTGAATAGTTGAAAGGGAGAACTTAAATCAGAAGTACTAAGACCGAGAGCTAACAGGGAAGCAGGAAAACAGGACAGCGTATCGCTGTGTCTGAAGCACCCTGTGCTGTTTGTGCCCCCAGGTGGGATTCTGAAGAAAAGCGCCAAGCTGTTCTTCCGGCGGCGGCACCAGCAGAAGGAGCCGGGCATGAGTCAGTCGCACAACGACCTCGTCTACCTGCAGCAGCCGCTGGCGGAGGAGGCGCGCAGGAAGGGGGGCACCCTCTCCCGCATCCTCAGCAGGAAGCTCCTTGCCAGGAACAAAAGCAAGAGCAAACTGAACGGTGCTTCGGCAGAGCCGTGCCCCTGAGGCTGGACGCGCTCTCCTGGGACACGTCAGTGGAGCAGATGTTTACAGAGCAGCGCGAGAGAACCTCTGTGCAGCCACCGACTTGCATAACGTGCTGCCCGCCAATGCGGTGGCCCAGGAATAAAGGGGGAGGTTGCCTTCGGTTTATTTTCCCAGCACGCTTCCCKTGAGAATTCATGAGCTGCAACTCCAAATCCGAGAAGCGGGAATTCTGTCGTGGCAGCATTTGGTTTGTTGTGCAGGATGAGGGAAGGCTGGGAATGGTGCAGGCGGGAGGGCTTTTTGGGAGCCCCTGGTTTACGCTGGGGGAGAATGAAGAACTGAACCCGCCTCCCTGCTGTGCGGCTGAGGTGACCCCCAGTGCGCTTCCTGAGCCGGTGTGCACCACGGACAGCGGCAGCGCGAGTCGTGGCTTGGCTGACTGGTCGGGCTGAGGATGAGAGAGAGGCCCCTTGGCCTGGCGGTTGGGAAGCGGGTAAGTTTCCAGAGGCAGGACTGAGCTGCTGAGTAAGATAGCCTGCTGCAATAACGCCAGCCTGCTGCATTAACTGCTCAGTCCGGGTAGGCGGAGAGATGCCTTTGATAGTAGCCATAAGTCGGTAAATTATGCAAATATTTATCCTAGCATATTGTATAATATTCTGTGCACAAGTTATGCTTAAAAACCAGAACGTTTTCCAAGTCTCCCCAAGTCTACGTGCAAGGAAAAGATCTGAAAAATCCCCTGCACAGCTGCTCTGCCCTGTGTGAGGAGCTGCATTGCTAATGCAGCAGCTTGGCTGAGGAGCTCTAATTCCSTCTCTCGAGTTCCTGTCTAACAAGTACATTAATCATCGTATCAACTGCAAAGGTAGGAGCAATGTGTTGAACAGAGCATGTTTAACCCTACACAAGCTTTTCGTTGGCTTGTTTTCGATGCCAAACACTTATTGAGATCTCAGAAAATGCACTTGTGAAGACAGCTTTAAAAATAATAATAATAATAATAATAATCCCCTAACTTCAGTTTCTAGAGGTATCAGTGTTACTGTGTGGTGAGTGGTTGGTTGGGCTTTTGACTTCTGGTTGACTTTGTCCTCATGAAATGTAGCAATCGTCTCCTTTAAATTAAAATGAGAAAAAAAAAAAGATGAAAGTAAAGGTATAGGTTTGAGGGKTTTTTTTAGATATTTAAATTAGTAAAATATCAGTTGGTATTGCACAGGGAACATCTGCGCATACCTGTACTTTTCCATCATATGCATTCCTACAGAGAACGAAGGACCAAACCTGTTCTCTTCAGCAAATAAAACCCTCATTCCAGAAAGCTACTGACATAAATGGATGATAATTTGTGCCTGCTTTGCCAACGGTGATTTTTTTTCCCTTAAAAGGCTTCTTGTTTGCATTAACAAAAATGACAGATAATTGGGCTTACACATTAAAGCATCCCTAGGATGCTTCAGAAATATAAATTCGGTGAGGAAAAAAAAAAACAGAAATACATTTCAAAAAATCTGGTGGGTTCTGAGTTCCCTGGCAAATCTCTTTGCAAAGATTATAAATCCTTAGAATTTTTTTTTAATTTTACCAAAAATTATTGCAAGAAATGAGCTGCCAAAATTTTAACTGAGCCTCTTGTTGAAAGATACAGTGTTCATGTAGCCTAGTAAAATCACTGTGRTAGTGCAGTCCAGACTACCAAACAGACGTCTCTTTAAGCGTTCTGCTTAGCATGAAAACACTTGAAAGCATTTTAATATTCCCTATTTAAAAAATTTTTGTTACACATGAGTATTGTAGACCTTTAATGTGCTTGGAAATCCCAGGTCAGTCAAKAGGGGTTTGTCCTGCTTAAATGTGCTTGGGAGCTTCTCCCCCGTGTCCATTTAACACACGGTAGGAGCTGGGCTTCTTCGTTTGCTCTAGAGCTTTGCCAGACTAATGTTCCCTCATCCACTTTTTCCATTGACCCTGGGAGGAGCTTGTTGTGTGACGGGGGAGAAATGAAGTCCCTGTAGCGTTTAAAGGCTTGGCCTTGTTTGCTGAAGGAGAAGACGACAACTGGGCATCGAGCTCCAGAAATCCCAGCGTAATTAAGGGGAGACGAAGTTCTGTGTTTAGCACCCCTTACACCAGAAGCTAGCAGCTGTAGAATTGGGGGGTGCAGAGGGGTTATTTATCACTACTTGAAGCCTGTTCAAATCACTGAACTGGGATTTTTATTTTACAGAACTTTTTTACTGTAGAATGTGGTGGAATTAGCACTGAGTAACTTGCGGAGCACGGGAGCAGGGTTTGCTTGTACGTTACTCCAAAGAAAAATAAGCCCTGAAGGTGGTGTATTTTTTTTAACCTTTCTTGAAATCTTGGTGATTGCCTAAATGCATGTCTTAATGGTGGGAACGGAGAGCATTCMATGCGGCAAACCGTTCATAAGTTTGAGCTTGTATATACTGAGAGTTAATTATTCGGATGAGGAAAACAAGGCATTTGGGGTAAAAAGGGAACCTGGTTTTGCAATTGCCTTCACTCCTCAGGAAAATAAACACTGTTTGGTTTGACGATGTGTTTGACCTCTACCTGGCTGCTGTGTTCCTTGCTTCTTCCTACAGCTCTGCGAGTAATTTCTGTAAAATAACAAGCATTAAACGCAGTGGAGAGCTGAACTCTTCAMTAGTGCTAACCTGAAAGACCCATAATCCTGACCCCGTTCCTCCTTCCCAGGAGGCTGCCRTGTGGGAGCGGGAGATTGAGCCTGTACTTGGCGTGGGTGCGAGTGGGTCCCGACACGCGTGTGAGCGGCGCTGCGGCTCGGAGGAGGGAGGACTGGGCTCCTCGTGTGGCCCAGTTAATGCAGGCGCCAATCCTGCCACGTGCTCAGTATTTCCCCTGCACTGGTCTGAAAGGTGCCGAGGGGAACCCCCCGAATTATTAAGACTGCAGTCATAAAAATGTTAATAAGGAGCGCACGGCAGATCAAATCTCTGCATTATACTACACAGAGAACTTCTTTCTCTCTCCTCCAGTTACTTCAGAGCGATACTTTGGAAGCCATTTATACAATCTTTCTTCTTTTTTGCCCCTTTTCTTACCATTCTGTGTTTCTGGATATTATGTATACCAAAGAAAGCATGGCATTTATTTTATAAGGATAACACTGTGAAGTTTTTTCCTTCTAAAGATTCTCTCTGCCCATAATGGAGTAATCTTAACCTGTGTTTATGTGGTTTGTTTTGCTTTACGGTATCTTAGCTTTTCATTTGCCTAGCAGGAGAAAACTTGCCTCCTCACCTAAGCAAGACTTGCRTCAGCAAATGGAAAATGTGAATCTTTGAAATTTGAAAAATGGAATTTTTGCCAAGATCTACAGGAACTGACTTTCTCTTTGTAGATTAATACAATAAAGCTGCCAATACCTCAGATGTGAAGGCCAGCTAGGTGACTGTTGAAGGGACTGAGATGGAGGGACGGGTCYCTTCACCCCTAGGTTGCCGGTATTTGCATATCCAGTTTCCCCTAGGAAAAAACATAATTCATTTTACTCCTAACTACATATGAAATTTGTGAGGTCGAGGCAGCAGGAAAGAGGAGGAACACAATAGTGGACAAAAGTGTGCATTCCCTTAAGCAAAATGGCATTAGCAAGCTAGGTTTGACATAGCAGAGATACAAACTGCACAGACATGGATATTGGGTGTTACTCTAATGCTTTCCAGTAGATTTTTTTTCCCCTCTTTGGGAGAGACTTTGGGACTCAAGGTTATACAAACTTACAGTTACTGTTCAGTTCCAGACAGGACTTGGTTTCTGGTGCTGCATTTTCAGTGCTGCCTTTTTGGGAAGAGTCTATTGCCGAGAAATGATACCAACTGGTTTGAGGACTGGTGACATTTTGCACTAGTTTCTGGTACTGCATCTCCGAGCTAGTTCTAAGTGGTTTTCAACTGAATACACATCAGAAATGTGTATTTCTTGAAATGTTTTTGTTCTTTTGATGTATGGAATATAATTGGAGAGAGAAAAAAAGGTGAAGCTGACTACGTAAAATGCTATCAGATGTATATGGGGAAAACGAAGTRGAGCCTTGTTCTTCCTCTAACATCTCTTTCAGCTCTGGTAGTTCTGGCTGTTACAAGGAGTAAAAGCTCTCCACACGGTGAGAGTCACGAGACTTGCTCGGTTTACTGCAGTTTCTGAACTGCAGAGCTGAAGTTTGAGATCAGTAGTTACTCTGGTAAAGAATTAAGTACACCTAGCCTTAGGCTAAGGCAATTCCGAGGGTGAGTGGGAAGAGCTGCGCTCATACTTTGACCCCCCCTCCCAGACCTACATGGATTTATTCATGTGTTTAAAGTGACACTTCACTGCTGAGTCATGGCCGTGAYGCCAAACAGCTCAAGATTAACCATACAGCCAAGGTGACTGCYCTGAGTCAAGGGTGACCCATACCCTCTCCCTCGGGCTGTGGAAGCTGCTGCTGCGCAAAGTGCTGCTGTGGTGGGAGAGTAACTTGGGAGGAACGGGAGCGGGGCTTGGCAGGGCTCTAACCCGGTGCTTCCCGACAGCGCAGGACACTCTCTTATGGCCCATGCGGGAAAAACATTTATTCCTAGCATTTGGCTGTGACGGTCCCTTCTTCTGTGCTTATTTTCTGTGCRTGTGCACGTGGGTATGTATACACAAACAAGCTGATGCAATTAAAAAGTCTGTGATGTTCTATGATGTACAGATTTATTATACCACTMAAATGTCTGAGCATTTTTTTAAAGAAATAACTACTGCTGTACATACAATAAATGCCAACTGCCTCTGTGTAGTGTGCTGTCGTATCTAGTAAGCCAAGCCAAACAGATGGCTTTCTACTCCCTTTCACGGATCTGACCTGTTGCTTAACACAGTTCCTTGTTTCTCCAGGAGCAGATTCCTCCATTCATTTAAAAGAAAAAAAAAAGAAGAAAAAAAGTTATTCACTGTTTTTTCTTGTAAGTTATGTTATGCTAAAAACAGTGGTAAGGAGAAGTGTCAGGGCAAAGATCTCATGTAACAGCAACACTAAGACGAGCACTCTCTGAGAAGACAACTGCGTTAGGTTTGTTTTACTGAAAATGAYTCTAAATTACTGCTTCTGCAAAGCCCTACCAAGCTGAAAACAAAATAAACCGAAACAAAAGCAGACATTGAATGAAGACAGCCACTGTGATATTTATTCTTACCTCGCTAAAGCAAGTCAAGCTCCACCTTCTTTTGCAAGGAAATTGCGTGTTACCTTACAGGGAYTCACTGCCCACATTGATATGCTTCTTTATTTCATATTCTTGAAGTGCTCAGCTGAAACTCCCTACTGGTCTTACAGCAACCCTTCCTTTCCCTTCCTTCTCCGATGGTGGGTGCGTTCTTTTGGTGGTGGTGTTTTTAATAAAGCATTTGTGATGCCATTAGTTACACTGRCAAAAAATGACAGGACAGACCACGGCAGGAACGCACGTAGCGCTAGCTCGGGTGCCACACCAGCCTCCAGTTCATCGCTCTTAAACAATAAATGGAAGGTGGTGTTTGTTTTCCACAGCTAATCTCTGTATTCCAACCTGCTGTGAGATGCAACTTTGCCATCTGATATTAATGTTGCAGAAAGGCTTAAATATATGAATCATTTGCGAGCAGCAGGGTCCAGATTCACATGTATGTACGTCCCGATGCTACAGGTAGGAAATATTGCATCTAAATATTCTGAATTCCTTAATATTTATTCTGATGGAGGAAGGGCACAGCGCTATGATCCTCATGCTTGCGCACAGGATGCTGCCGCAAGCCAGGCAGCCTCTCCTACCTGTCTGGGCACCCTGCTCTGAYGCAGCACGTGAGCAGTGCTCGACTTGGGCCTGTCTCTGCGCCTGCGGCCTCTCCACATCGGGGCACGCTGCGGCTGGAGCAGCGGCAGGCACCCGAGGCGTCACAAACGGATGTTTAAAACCTCTCAAACTGAGAAGAGCTTCAAGTCCGAGGTTTCAATTTCCTGCGCRCACAGCCCCAGCAGTTATGTAAACAGTTTTACAAAAAGGCATACTGATTATGATTCAGAATAAATGTGTGCGGGAGAAAAACTGAGGGGGGAAAATATATATATATATATATAAAAGAGGATTTGCAGTCTACTAAAAGCCTGATATGGAGCTTTATGGAACCACCTTTTCGGCTCCATTCCGGGAATGACACACTGCTTTTGTGAGTGCCCCCCTCCCCTTGGATGCAAAGAAAGGGGAGGGGGGAAAACAAAAACTTTAAAATAAAAATCGCGTGCGGCACAAGCGCTAAGCGAAGGTCAGYGCTGGCCACTCTGCGGCCCCAAACGCCCCGCCAGAGTCGATCTCGGCCCCGGGAAGCCGCGCACTGCAGCGCGTGTCGCACCCCTGTCCCTCCCGCCTCACGCGCCGACGCAACCGCCACCGGTGACCGTTAGGGGCGGGGCCGCGCTCGCCCCGCCCCCTCTCGGCTGCGCGCGGGCGGACTACGTCTCCCATGGTGCTCCGGGGCCGGCCGGCGCGGCTTCCGGCGGCGCGTGGTTTCCGGAGCGGATCGGAACCCGGAGCCCGGATCCCACCGGCTCTGGACGTTCCCCAGGCAGGTAACGCCAGTTCCCCGCGCGCCCCCGCCGCGCCCACGCGGGAACCCCCCGCGCGGGAACCCCTCCCCGGTCCTCCCTCGGCGCCCG